AAGCACCACAGAATATCTTATTAAACCTATTTAGTTGACGTAGGATAAATGATTCCCACTATTTCACAGGGATATACATCTTTTTTTTTCCTTTTTATATGTGTATGTCTGTGTGTGTGTGTGTGTGTGTGTGTGTGTGTGTGTGTGATTGGGCAGGATAGATGTGTGATTCACATATGAGAATATGTGAATAAAGCACATAGGAATACAGGAAAAAGACATAATTTGATTTATTAAAGTGAGAAAATAAAGATATGATACCTTTTAAACCTTTTAATTTATGGTTGGACACTCATTTCCAGATATTTCATGCATAAACACACAACAGAGAACTTCAACACCATACTTAAATTGTGATTTAAAATGCTGTGCAAAGGTTCATAACCCAACTTTAACATCATATTTTTATATTTTACCTGCCAGAAATATATAAAACAGACGGAACAGCTTGAAATGTTCATGTTAAATTAATAACAAGGAAGTCAGAACATACAAAAGAAATAATTGACATCTCTTTCTTCTCTCTCTCTCTATTTCTCTCTTTTAGGTCATATCTTTACCAGGTATTATCACATAGCTGGCTGTTTCCAAATTTTATATTTTAGTGGCAATTAATATCACTCTACCCGAATATTTTTCCGATTTTGAAAGGCAGTATTATGTTATTTAATTCATATTGCTATTTATTTATGTTGTTCAATTCAAATAAGATAATTAAAGTATAAAACTCATTCAAAGGGATATAGTAAAAGCAAAGAAAAAAATGTGGGCTTTAAAGTGAGACAGACTTCATTGTGAACATCAGTCATGCCACGTACTATAGGTTAAAGGTTCTTATGTGGGTTAATTAACCTGCCTGGGCCTCCGTTCCTCATCCTTAGAATGTAGATGATGATATTAATTAGGGTGGCTATGAGAATGAAGTGGTAACATATATGTATAAAGTGCTAGGACATATATTCCAAACAATGACTACTATTTAATGGGGCTTACCGTGCTGCACAAAGGGTGCTAAATGTGTTACACATTTACAAATTGAATTCTTACAGCATTCCTGTGGAGTAGGGGTCGTTTCTGTCCCATTTTACAGATGGGGAAGTAAAGGATAGAGATGTTAAATCATTTACCTATAGCTGCATAATTCTTAAGTGGCAGGAGCAGATTTCTAATTGGGGACCATCTGTCTGGTTATCTATTTCTGTGCAACAAACCATCTGAATCTTAGCGGCTTAAAACAACAACAACTTAATCATCTTTAAAAATTTATGGGTTGATGGGATGGAGGTGCATGGTTCCTTTCCTGCAAAAGATGTGGACCACAGCTACAGCTGTCTAACAGCAGTGGTGGTGGAGCTGTAACAACGGAGATGGTTCGCTCACAAGGCTGGCATTCAGTGCTGACATTCTGCTTGGAGTTCAGATGTGTATATTGGCTGGATCACCTCAGTTCTCTTCATATATATGTATATATATATATAATTGCACTTTAGGTTCTGGGGTACATGGGCAAAACATGCAGGATTGTTGCATAGGTACATATATAGAATTGTGGTTTGCTGCCTCCATCATTTCTGTTGCCTATACCTGGCATTTCTTCCCTTGTTATCCCTCCCCAACCTCCCCACTCCGGGCTGTCCCTTCCCTAGTCCCTTCCAGCAGACCCCAGTGTGTGATGCTCCCCTCCCTGTGTCCATGAGTTCTCATTGTTCAACACCCGCCTATGAGTGAGAACAGGCAGTGTTTGTTTTTCTGTTCTTGTGTCAGTTTGCTGAGAATTATGGTTTACAGATTCATCCATGTCCGTACAAAGGACACGAACTCATCAATTTGTATGGCTACATAGTATTCCATGATATATATGTGCCACATTTTCCTTGTCCAATCTATCATCAATGGGCATTTGGGTTGGTTCCAGGTCTTTGCTTTGTAAACAGTCCCACAATAAACATGCACATGCATGTGTCTTTATAATAGAACGATTTATAATCCTTTGGGTATATACCCAGTAATGGGATTGCTGGGTCAAATGGAATTTCTATTTCTAGGTCCTTGAGGAATCACCACACTGTCTTCCACAATGGTTGAATTAATTTACACTCCCACCAACAGTGTAAAAGTGCTCCTATTTCTCCATATCCTCTCCAGCATCTGTTGTCTCAGATTTTTTAATGATCGCCATTCTAACTGGCCTGAGATGGTATCTCAATGTGGTTTTGATTTGCATTTCTCTAACGACCAGTGATGATGAGCATTTTTTCATATGTTTGTAGGTCTCATAAATGCCTTCTTTTGAAAAGTGCAGTAGTGCCTGTGGCCTCATCTTATGGATTTCCTCCAGTAGGCATAGAGACTGGGTTCCGGGAAAGTGTGCTGCAAGAGGACAAGCTCCAACATACAAACATGTAAGATGCGTTCACTCGCTTCAGACTTGCTAATGTCACATTGACCAAGGTTTGTCACATAGAAAAGCCCAGAATCAATGTGGGAAATAACTATACAATGTCATGAATGCTGAAAGGCCCCATTAAGGCCACAAACTTTCATAGCTGTCAGTAATCTACTCATTTTGGGTAGCATGTTGGACAATGCCTTGTGAGAAGGACTTAGCAGTTTCAGACACAGAGTCAATGACATCACTTTAGTAAGTTTTTATACTTTCCTGCTTCCAAATATGACATAAAGCTTCAATTTTTAAAATGATTTTTAAAATAAATGTTTTATGAAAGAAAAATGCCTCTCTCAAGGATTGAAGTTATTTTTAAAATGCCAAATCTGTACTGGATTTTATATATACAATCCTTAGTGAATAAAGAATGAGAAATATTATCATATTTTATGCCCTGTCATTATTCAAATGAAAGTGAATACATAGCAATCAATTTCTTAGAGTTTATGGCTAATTTTGGATTTCAAAAGACATTTCCTTTCAAAGGAATAAACTTATTTCTGTTATTTCTGTGAAAGAAGAATTTTTACTTGAGGAATTGTACTGATACCAAAAAAGAGATATAGACCAATGGAACAGAACAGATGCCTCTGAGGCAATGCCACACATCTACAACCATCTGATCTTTGACAAAAACCTGACAAAAACAAGCAATGGGGAAAGGATTCCCTGTTTAATAAATGGTGTTGGGAAAACTGGCAAGCCATGTGCAGAAAGTAGAAACTGGACCCCTTCCTGGCACCTTACACTAAAATTAACTCCAGATGGATTAAAGACTTAAACATAAGGCCTAACACCATAAAAACCCTAGAAGAAAACCTAGGCAAAAACCATTCAAGATAGAAGCATAGGCAAGGACTTCATCACTAAAACACCAAAAGCATTGGCAACAAAAGCCAAAATAGATAAATGGGATCTAATTAAACTCCAGAGCTTCTGTACAGCAGAGGAAACAATCATTAGAGTGAATCGGGAACCAACAGCATGGGAAAAAATTTTTGCAGTTTACCCATCTGACAAAGGGCTAATATCCAGAATCTACCAAGATATAAAACAGATATAAAAGAAAAACAAACAAACAAACCCATTCAAAAGTGGGCATGTCCTTCATGAACAGACAGTTTTCAAAAGAAGACCTTTATGGGGCCTACAAACATATGAAAAAATGCTCATCTTCACTGGTCATTAGAGAAATGCAAATCAAAACTACATTGAGATACCATCTCAGGCCAGTTAGAATGGTGATCATTAAAATATCTGGAGACAACAGATACTGGAGAGGATGTGGAGAAATAGGAACACTTTTACACTGTTGGTGGGAGTGTAAATTAGTTCAACCATTGTGGAAGACAGTGTGGCGATTCCTCAAGGACCTAGAAATAGAAATTCCATTTGACCCAGCAGTCCCATTACTGGGTATGTACCCAAAGGATTATAAATCATTCTATTATAAAGACACATGCACATGTATGTTCGTTGTGGCACCGTTTACAATAGCAAAGACCTGGAACCAACCCAATTGCCCATCAATGATGGACTGCGCAAGGAAAATGTGGCACATATATACCATGGAATACTATGCAGCTATACAAATTGATGAGTTCATGTCCTTTGTAGGGACATGGATGAATCTGGAAATCATAATTCTCAGCAAACTGACACAAGAACAAAAAATCAAACTCTGCATGTTCTCACTCGTAGGCGGGTGTTGAACAATGAGAACTCATGGACACAGGGAGGGGAGCCTCACACACTGGAGCCTGTTGGGGGAGAATAGGGAGGAACAGTGGAGGGTGGCACTATTCACAATAGCAAAGACTTGGAACCAACCCAAATGTCCATCAAGGATAGACTAGATAAAGAAAATGTGGCACATATATACTACAGAATACTATGTAGCCATAAAAACGGAAGAGTTCATGTGCTTTGCAGGAACATGGATGAAGCTGGAAATAATAATTCTCAGCAAACTGACACAAGAACAGAAAACCAAACACCACATGTTCTCATCATAAATGGGAGATGAACAATGAGAACATATGGACACGTGGAGGGGAACATCACACACTGGGGCCTGTCGGGGGTGGGAGGGCTAGGGGAGGGATAGCAGCGGGTGGGTTTAGGGGAGGGATAGCATTAGGAGAAATACCTAATGTAGATGATGGGGTGATGGATGCAGCAAACCACTATGGCACGTGTATACCTATGTAACAAATGTGAACATTCTGCACATGTACCCCAGAACTTAAAGTATAATAAAAACATGTTGACATTTCAAAAAAAAAATACATAACCCTTTACTCTTGATTCATTACTTCAAGTTATGTTAGCAATGATTTACAGGCAATACCATGTCAAAGCTGTTTGGTGACCAGTGCAAACTCTGATAATGTCATAGCCTAGGATCAAGACTCTGAGGGGGAGATAATCAGAAGATGATATCTGTACTAAGTTATTATTTTAATGACTATGGTATTAATATTAAAATTTTTTCTTTTCTTAAAAAAATGAGACAGGTACATAAAAGAAGTAGTGAAGAAACTCAGTAACTTACTTTTTGTGACAACACCTTCTAGGCGAATAATATTTGGATGGTCAAACTGGCCCATGATACTGGCTTCTCTTAGAAAATCCCTTCTTTGCCGATCCATGTGGCCGCCTTTCAAAGTTTTAATGGCAACTGGGATCTCTCTTTTCCCTGGTGTCTTCAAACGCCCACTACAGACTTCTCCAAATTCACCTTAAAATATGAACAAAAACGGCTATTTGATTAAACCAAATACTTAGGTTTCTGAAGAGTCAAACTGTCATACAGTGACATCCATTTTTCACATAATGACTGTTAAGTATGTTATTTTCACGTAAACATTTCTTTCTTAAAAACTAAGTTTATAAGGATAATATGCTTGCTCAACACTTATAATGAATAATGGAATGCATTATCATATGATAGAACACAGGAAATACCATTGATAGATATCCCTGATCTGCTGAGAAATTATGACTAGCAGAATGTGTAATGCTAATGTAATTCTATAGAAATGCAATCACAGCATAATGTATCCTGCTCCTGTTCTCAATGCTGATATATGGGCCAAATGTTTACTCTATTCAGGGAATCCATCAGGCACCTGTAGTTAATTTGATCTCCTAGGTCATACGACTGGACATCACTGACAGGAATCAATGTTAGGGTCAGCTGATGTATGAACATATTGAAAACACCCACACTGAACTCTACTATAGTAAATTATTATACCGGCTAAATCACAAGCCACATGGATGGAAATACAGATAAGGAAGATGGGATATGGTTCAGCATTGTCTCCATTGGGTAGATAATCACCAAATATTTAGCAAGCATTTATTATATCTATATCCAGTGCTAGAATGTTGTGAGTTTCAAAGAAGTATAAGACTTGGTCTCTGTTTTCAGGTGCTTATAATCTGGCAGGAGAATTTAGATGAACATAAATGAAACACTTAAGAACTTAAGAATACATTCCTGTAAGTGCTATATTTGTTAAGTAAGAACAGTGGGGGCTGAAGACTTCCTGGAGAGGATGGAACTTATTTATGCTGGACCTCGAGAGATGAGCAGGATTTAAGTATTTGAGAGAGGAAGGACATTCAAGACAGGGTGCATAAGGGAGTAAAGGAAATGAAGAAAATCATTCAAAGTTCCAGAAACTATTTAGAGAGAATGACATGGACACAGGGCAATAAGGAGACAGGAGGGATTATTGTGGATAAAAGGTAATGCATTTTCTCAGTGCAATGCAATACATTCAACAAACGTTGAAATTCTAGACTCTTAACTTTTCTAGAGCTCATTACCTGTATTTCCTTAAGAACATGATGATTGATTCTCAGTTTATTAATATATAAAGTGAGAATAATAAAATCTTCCATAATTCTATAACCTCTTTTCCCAGAAGGATATTGGGAAGATCGAAAGTGACAATTTATGTCAAAGTGCTTATAAACTGTAAAGTACTATTCATACAGTGTTTTAAGTTATCAAAATCTTTGGAAGGATGAAAGAAATTAAAATTAAAATATCTTCAGTTGGCCTATTAGCAGTTATGGCCAACTGTAATACATAATATAAGTTTAAGCAAAGAATATGGAATGAAATTTTGCAGTACAATGGATTTCAATTATCCTTACTTTCTTTGGACAGTTTATCACAGCCAGCTAAATGCTGACTATGCATGAATATTAGCTACCTTTTGGTGTAGGTACTAAGATTTTTTATGTAAAATAACTACTGGGAGGCTGAGGCAGGTGGATCACAAGGTCAGATCGAGACCATCCTGGCCAACATGGTGAAACCCCATCTCTACTAAAAAAATACATAAATTAGCTGGGCATGGTGGCACATGCCTATAGTCCCAGCTACTTGGGAGGCTGAGGCAGGAGAATTGCTTGAACCCGGGAGGCGGAGGTTGCAGTGAGCTGAGATTGTGCCACTGCACTCCAGCCTGGCGCCTGGCAACAGAAAGACTCTGTCTTAAAAAAAAAATAAATAAAATAATAAATAAATAACTAGTGGGGAAACAAGGCATAAGTTCGTGTCCAAACAATTATGTGTACACATGTCCATTAGAAATAGAAAGCAGTCTAACAAGAGAATTTATTCTACTTATATTAAACAAACAGGCAAAGATACAAGCCAACAAAAACCACTGAAAATTCAGTGTGTATGGTATTAGGGTTTTGTAAATCTTGTACGAACCTGGCAACAAACACAAGAATAGTCTTTTTTTTTAACAACGATACTCTGAAACTGTTGGAGGATGAATTTCCTTCCTTCACAAGAAAAAAAAGAAGTTGTGGTTTTTCAGTTCTGCTCGTAATAACACGATGATTTAGGTAATACCACGTCAAAGCTATTTGGTGACCAGTGCAAACTCTGATAATGTCCTAGCTTAGACTCAAGACTCTGAGGGGACATAATCAGAAGATGGAATCTGCACTAAGTTGTTCCTTTAATAACTGTTGCATTAAGATTTTTTTTATTTTCTTAATGAAAGTAGGTTTGTGAAAGAAGTAAAAGGTTTTCTCTTATACATAAAAATGCCAATTGATAGATATTTTCAACATATTTCTACTGAGATACTGAACCTTGAGAGAAGAGGTGGGTATGTACGTTTACACTAACGTCCAATACAATCAGGCCTATTAAGATACTTAAAATTCATCCTCAAATCATTCATCCTGGTTTGTTCTAATGAATATCCAGAACAAAAAAAAATATTTATTTTTCCTTTTTTTTTTCATTTTGTCTAATAAATCTGATAGTATGTATAAAGATTCAGCAATATTTTAAAACCCCTCACCTGCCACGAGCCCACAATCCACGTGTTTTTTTGGTTCACATTTCATAGAAATTCAAATAAACTTTTGAATATCACGAACGAATGAGAACTCTGTTGGTATTATATCAAGACAGACAAAGTGTTAATTTTCTTTGGTTTTCTGTTGTCTGAAATTCATGTATCTTATTAACACCAGGCAGGTGTTGTCTTTATGCCAAGCTTTGCATGATCAAGCTGTTATCACACTTATTTCAGTGGTACTAAATACGGTCGCCTCAATTAAAGATCTGAGACTCTTAGTGTATTCTTTAGCAAAGTCCAAAAAGCTCAGTCACATAATGTATTAAAACTGTTATCTACAGTAGGCTTGAATGAATCAGACATATCAGGCAGACAGGAAAATTATTTTAAATTAAATGCAGTTTCAGATTTTGCTAAAAACTGATTTATTATGTCATTGACCTTGTAGCAAAAGTAGAGATCCCATATAGAACCATAAGTGATAAAAATGATTCCTCAGTAAGATCTGTGAACATTTATATATACTGAGCAGTACATAATTAACTCTTCAACTATAGGAATAGGGTATTAATTACCTTTTTTAAAAATTTTCCAATACATAGTTGTAATCATTATTACAAAGCTAGGTCTTACATAACGTTATCCTATGCTGGGTCTAAGAAATTACTATATATTTTATCCTTCCCAATAAACCATTGAGGTAGGTATTATCCCACTTTATTGGTAAACGAAGTAACGTACCCACAAAGACACAGCTAGAAAGTGTAAGGTTGTCATTTGAGCCTAAGCTATCTGGCTTCAGAGTCCATGCTTGTAACCTTTATTCTCTGCTGTCTGAGTTGTTTATCATTGTTAATATTTTCCTGTGTTGGTATGTTAAATCCCCAACTGGTAGCAATGGTGGCTTAAAACAACTATTGTAATAGTGTTCAAATGCATGAACTGGATATGAACAGATGGTTGGAATGATAAAACCATATCCTAGGAATGCTTCGCTATTAAATAGAAATGGAGACCCCGCTCAAATATGTTATATGTTAGATGGTCTGGAAAAATCACTACAGTCTAGTTTCCAGAGAGGAAAGAAAATTCTCTCTAGGATAATTGATCTTCTGCCACTGACAGCACATTCACAAGCTAACAACCCCATCTATCTCCCTGGATGCTGATGAAACATTCTTGGACAAGCAATTTCGTTGTATGTTATACAGGGTCATATTAAAATATCAATTACTATTGAACTTTTCATACAAAGTCTATATAATTGAACTAAATCTGTGAGGGAAGGGCAGAGGCAGTGAGGGGAAATCTGTCTTGGAGGACCACCGCATCAGGATTCCTTTGAGGCTTTCCAAAAGTTTACTTCCCATGTTCTGAGATTCTGGTACCTCCTCCATATTCAACCCCTAGAGAGCACTGAAGCAAAGAGCCATGCTCCTGATAGTTTTCATCACACCTCTTGGTATGAAATGTTTCTTTGCTCATACTTGCTGTTTCCCGCAGATAGGAATGCTCTCCCACACATGTTCCCCCTCTCTCTCCTGTCTGTGCTCTCCTCAGTTCTTCTCTATGTGGATGGCTCCTTATTAGTGGTAAAGGCTCAGCTTTGATATCCGTCTTCCAGAAAACTTTCCTTGACCAACCCATCTAATTTAGCCTGCTACCACCAACAGGCTCTTTTGACTGTAAAAGGAGCAGCCTCTGAGATTTGGAAACTGGCCCAGCTCTCAGAAATATGTTATTTTATTCCCCTGCTGGAAATAACACCAACCTCAGGCTACTTTGAGACCATGATGAAATGAGACGCAGTAGGGCCACTTAATAATTTTGTCTAAGTACAGACAAAGGCAAGGTCATTGTGCTACCCAAAAACACCAGAAATTCTGACTCGTCTAAAATGAGTGCTGCTTTTAAGAAACAATTATAGCTTTATTCTCATATCTTGTCTTCCCTTCCTATAGCTAAGATTCATTAATACACTATGGTTCAAGTCCTAAAATTAAGGCCCAATGTTATCGGCTTCTGTGATAGCTGAGGGCATCTCAAAGGGATTTAAATAGCCCTACTGTATCCTTCCCTACTCTGCTTCCACAAATAAGGTTTCCTGGCCGAAGAACCTGCATAATCAAATAGATCAGGTCAAGTTCCTCCTCATCCCTGAGAAGTAAGTTTCAGTTCCTTGCCAGCCTGTGGAGTTATTCAGACAAGCCAATCACATCCTCCTGAGTATCAACGAGTACTCTACCCTCTTGATACTATAAAACCTGCATCCCATACCTGTGGTATTCATGATTTTTCCCAAATGTAACCCTTATGTGGCCTTGCATGGTGTCTGGTGTCTCCCTCCTCTGGGCTGTAATGTATGTGATTAATAAATATGCATAAATCTCATCTGCCT